CTGAAGTCACAGCTCTATTTCTGGCTCTTTTTTTGTGATTAATTGAAGATAAAAGTCTCATGGACTTTCCTGCCCAAGTTGGCTTTGAATAGGCATTCTTACATCTCAATCTCCTGAGTAGCTAGGATTACAAGTGTGTGTGAGCCCTGGCAACCAGCTTTTTCTTTTTCTTTTTCTCTCTCTTTTTTTTAAAATTTTTGGTGGTACTGAAGTTTGAACCCAGGACCTCATATTTATTAAGCAGATGTTTTCTATCACTTGAGCCAATTATTTTTCTTTTAGTTACTTTTCTGGAGTGTCTTGAGGTTTTGCCTGAAACAGACTATGCCTGAAGCTGACCATTATAGATATATGTGCCCCACTTTTTTTCATCTTCATTCCTAGAGCAGCTGGGATTATAGGTATGCACTCCTATACCCAACCCCAAAGGTACTTTAAGCAACTGAAAGGGCTAACTTGTTCTCCTAACTTAATCATTCTATATTGTGAAGTACATAAGACATATCTTCATGAGACTAGAAGTAGCTGTTGATAGAGCCATAGAGGCTGTGGATTAAACCATGGGAATTCCCACTTACAAATTCTCTTCTCTTCTCTCCTCTACAGCAAATATGATTCCTGCTTTGTATGTGTGTGTGTGTATAGTGCTGGGTTTGAACTCAGGACTTTGTCTTGCTAGAATGGTATTAATCATTAGGCCATGCCTCCAACCCTGTTTTCACTGATTACTTTTGATATGGAATCTGTCTTTTCTGCCCATGCTGGTCTCAAATCTTGGTCCTCCTGTTCTCAGCCTCCCAATTAGCTAAGATTACAGGTGTGAACCACAAGTACCCTGTTTTCTATGATTTCTTTCTTTCTTTCTTATTCTGTTAGCAAAAATAACCTAAAACAAAAAGCACTGATGTCAGATTTGGAAGATGTAAAGAATGGTAAGAAAACTAGCCACATTCTAAACATCTATGTACTGTGTTACAATGCTAGGGCCAGGATCCAGTTCTATCGTTACAGAAGGGCCTTTGGCTAAGTTGATGAGCATCTACAGCATACAGCAAGAAGCATGCACTCATATGAATTCTGTCTGGTTTTCCCACCCTTGCTGTCTATATACAGGAGATCCAGGTGGCTTCCTGGAAGAGGCACTTGAATGATACTCTTAGTGATCCAAAGGTATTCAGGTAATGGGGAGTGGGTTTCAGGCTACATGGCTACCAGTGAACCTGAGAAAGCCGGTTACTGTATTGCTTGGGACTGAGGATGGGTGCCAGAATCAGAAAGCCCTTGAACACCATGCAGAGACTCTGGACTTTAGCCTTGGATCAGAGACCAAGATTAACAGTGCAAAGAACAAACTATGAGTTGAGATGCATGAAAAAATAGAGAGTCATATGCATCTATACACAAATGTACTGATTAAAGTATGATACAATGATATAAAGGAGGGAGAATTCCAGTGGGGCAACTCTTTTGAACAGCCAACTAACCATTCAACAAAATGAATACTAGGGAGTGGAACATGTTTTGTCAGGGTTGAGATCAAGAAGAGGTAAGGCAAATGAACAGAATAAAGAAGCAAGTGTGGGAGGATGCAATCATAATATCCAATGTACAGATGAGAAAATGGAACTGGGAAGCTTGAGGGGAGGAGTAGGGTTGGCACAGATGGGGAGAATGATGGAAAGGTGACACTGATCAAGAAGGGTGACATTGATCACAAACTGATACGTTGACCAGAAACCCCTTCATACTACTACTTTTTAAAAATTAATTGATTAGCTACAGAAAAAGGAAAGGTGGTGAGTCCTGTGCATATGAAGAACAGGCAGGAAAGGGGAAGGAAAGGAGGGAGGAGGTGGCTAGTGTGCATGGACACTACTACCTTCCAGGCTGGCCTCCCTAATGGCTGGCACAGCACACCTGAAGGGCAAGGAAGCCATGAGCCTCCCACAGGAGGCAAAACTGTCCTAAGAGTATTGCATTGGCAACTGGCATAGCAGTGAAAGGAACTGCAAAGTGAGGCTCGGGCACTTACAGGTGGGCACCATTATGTGACACAGAATGAGAGTTCATACAGGCTTGAAGGAGAGTGATGTAAGTCTTACAGACAAAACCCAGCAATGCCAAGGCATGACACAGCTTCTAACGCTGAACTAGTCTATAGAAGAGACCCAGAAGAGGAAGAGGAAGAAGAGGGGAGGAACAGAAGTCCAAGATTTCATTCAACTAATATCCTTTCAACTATCACAAAGTTAGTTAGCAGCCAACGAGAAAACATCCATTAGCCACTTTAAAGTCCTTGGACCCCAAATTTCCTTCCCAGATATCCATGCTTTGTGTGGGGGTTGTGCCAGGTTGCCTACCTCTCTCTCCTAAAGATTGCCTGGGAAAGAATGGAAGCTTTCCCTTGGGGCCCCTATTCAAAGATGTTATTAGAGCATCAGAACCAGAGTGGTCTCTTCATGAGTGGTCTCTTCTTATCTGCTGCCAAGGACATTATGCATGCTGCAATAAAATACGAGGTCCCTGGTCTCAGCCACAGTAGTTATTATACCATAAGCATGACTCCTCAGACAGGCAGGAAAGGGAAACAGAGGAGCCACCTCAACCCTCCAAAAGGGACAGGCAATTCTTTCTCCAAGTGACTCACCATACAATGAAGCTCAAGCCCGAGCGGAGGAGGAAGGCTCAGGGACAACTGGAGCACACCCTTCCTGCTCTCCACCCTCTGTCATGGCAGCCCATCAGATCTTTTCCTGGGAGGGACTAAGGAGGCCAGCCCAGCACAGCCTGTCAAGGGGGCCTGATAGAGACACCAGCACTGACTCAGTTTCTGCTTCCTGGCCTGTAAGCAACCTGGAAAGAATCTTTTATACAATCACGGACAGTGACAATACAATGTTCAAGAGGAGCCCACATGGAAGCATCTGGCCACACAGAAAGTGGCCAGTGCAGAAAGAAGTTGCCTTGTCAGTCCAGTCACACGGACTGATCCTCTCCCCAACGAACTTCTGGTTTGGTCAGAGAAATGCCTTATTTAATTTATTAAGTAACTGTTTACTGAGCACCTGCTCCACTCCAAACACTATTCCTCAGGGAGTTTAGGTTCAAGTGATAGACTTGTATTGGACATAAGGAGAAAGTCTGTTTCTTTTTTTTTCTTTTAATTGTGAAAATACTGTACAGAGGGGTTACAAGTACATGGGCAAGATAATGAGTACATTGCTTATCAAGCATTGTAGCCTCCTCCTTTGTTTCCCCTTCCCATCCCGTCCTCCTTCCCCCTGCCCCCTCCCTCAACCCTCCTCCCCCCCACCAAAGTTGTAAAGTTCATTTTTTGACATAACGACTTGTACATCTCATTGTTGCAATGGGTCCACCTGTATCCCTATTTAAACGATTTGTTTTCCCCTTTCCCCTCCATAAATTATACCGACATCAAATACAGTGAAAGCAGGGGTTATACCATGGGGGAGGGACATACAAAGCAACAAAGAAATAATCTTATAATTGTGTTAGAAACAATGCATGAAAGAAAAAAACATTTGAATACATCTCTTAGGGTTCATTTCCCTAACATCAACTTATCTAACCTCTTCTGCTTGACTCAGACATATACTAGTTATTGCAAATAAGGGAAACCATGGGACCTATGTTTCTTTGGGCCTGGCTTACTTCACTTAATATAATTTTTTTCCAATTGAAAGTCTGTTTCTTTACATTCATTCTCTACCCTTTGATCAAGGCAGCTAAATGAATACAAATTTAAATATGATTCCCTTAGCTATAAATCCAGCTGTTAAAAAAGAAAGGAAAAAAGGAGTTGGCATTTTGAGGAACTGTGATTGTCTGTAGAAATGAAAGACCATGGAGAGATTTTGTGCTACCAGCACTGAAGTAAGGAGGCCTGGTCTGGCGGCGCTATATTGGCCACATGGTGGATGGTAGGGTCTGACATCTTGTCTTCATGCTGGGGGAAGGAAACTGCCCCCAACCCCATCACCTGCTTCACAGGTAATGGGTGTGCCCGGACCCCTGGAGGCAGCGGCAGGCACTTGGCTGATAGGTTACTGAATCTGTCAGTCCAGTGCCTGGGACTGGGAATTTCCTGAGGATCTTCTCCCTGTGCTGACCTATGTAGGCCCAGACCAGCCTAGCTGCCAGGACTCCATGCCATGTGTGTCTCTGTGACCGTGTCCTGTGTCCTGTCTCCTGGCTGTCTCCAGTCATCATGGCATCCCAATTCAGCTCTCCATTGGAGCTGAATTGGTTTGCTGGTATTGTTTTTGTTATTTCTTTCCTCTTTAGCATGTTTCCTAGCTGTGTTATGTGTATTTGTATGCTGCAGCAGGCCTTTGTAACAACTGGTGGCTTGCAGCCTGTTCACTGTATAATAAAGACTCCACTATTCTATATTTTAAAATGTGGCTTCTGAGATGATTTACCTTACAACATGACTAACACTGCAAAAGTAAATCAAGCTTACGTGTAACTAAAAGGAGCCCTTACAACTTTGTCATTCAATCATTTGTGTCCCATTCTCTGAGCATAGAACAGGCAGGGGAGGAGACAGACTTAAGAATGTCGGCTGAGAAAATGACTGGCTGGGGATAGAGCTCAGCAGGACACAGCCAGGGTTCCATAAGAGAAAAGGAGTGGGAAGGGGAGGAGAGGAGAGACAAAGGGGAAGGGAGGAAAAGAAGACAGGAGAGAAGGAGGAGAGGAAGAAGAAAGGAGGGAGAGGGGGAGGGTGTATCAGTTGTTAACTGCTTAGGCAAGTAACACCTTAATCCTTAAATAGACCTGGCCAAAAAGGCTTTTCAAGAAGAATATAGTTTAGTTGTTGTCTTTTGTTTTGTCACATAACTAAATCCTAATAGTACTAAGTTAATTTTTGCAAGAGCAAAACTCCAGACTCCAGAACTCTTTCTTCCTTATTTGCTACTATAGCAATTGACCTCACCCAAGTATGGCAAACACATTCTAAAATCATCTGTAATTACCTTTTATCCTGTTGGTTGAAACTCAAAGAGAACTCACCATCTCTTCTTGAGCTTCTTTAATTTTAGAAAACAACCTGTGTCCAGTGCAGCTCGAATCTAGGGAGGAAAGCAAAAGGTTTTAAGAATTATAGGCTGTAACTTGTAAGCTGAAATATGCCTATATGAGAGGTGGGATGAGCTAAAATGAGCTTCAGCTCACCGCCTATTTGATCAATACCCCTTCTTGCCCTTTGACCTATTGCAGTGGAATTTGACACAATGACAAGAAAATGGTTTAGCAGTAGAGTGCTTGCCTAGCATGTATGAAACCCTGAGTTCAATTCCTCAGTACCACATTAACAGAAAAAGACAGAAGTGGTGCTGTGACTCAGGTGGTAAAGTGCTAGCCTTGAGCAAAAGAAGCTCAGAGACAGTGCTCAGGCCCTGAGTTCAAGCCCCAGGACTGGCAAACAAACAAACAAAAAAAACCCCACAAAAACTCTAGTTTGACAATTTTACATTTATTTATTTATTTATTTAGGTGTAGAGAATTGAACTCCAAGGACATCTAAATGTGTACCCTATGGCCGGCTTATCCACCTCTAGCCCCTATCTGGTAATTTAAGTCAGGATTAAAATTGCCCTGTTGCCCTCACTAAATTTGCCCTTTGCCCTGTGTGTGTGTGTGTGTGTGTGTGTGTGTGTGTGTGTGTGTGTGTGTATGCGCGCGCGGGCGCGCACGTGCGCACACGCAAGCACACACGCACCAGTAATACAGGTTGTTGAACTCAGAGCCTGGACACTGTCCCATACCTTTTTTTTTTTTTGTACAGCACTTTTTTCTTTTAATTAAATTATTTTTGCACCAATATTGGGTCTTGAACACAGGGCATCTGGCTCACATTTGGCTTTTGTCGCTCAAGGTTGGTGCTCTGCCACTTGAGCCATGCCTCCACTTCCTTGAATCTGATTTAATCTGGTTTCACTTGAAACACCTTCAATGACTACTTGGAACAGACAAGTTACCCCCAATTTCTACAATTCATAGCTCCCTTTCTTCCCTAACACCTTCCTTAGTACTGTAACTAGTTATGATCAACAATCATGGCACACAGCTCACACACATCTTCCACAGGACTGAAGTCAACATTTCCTTGTAACAATTACTCTTCCTTTATCTGGGTAAGAGGGAGCAAATCAAATTACAACTAGACAGACCAAAGATTCTGCCCTCCCCCAAGGGTACATTGAAAATTCCCAAGATCTTAAAGAAACATAAAAATGGCTTCATTTTTAATAATGTAGCAATGAGCTAATTCAGTCTGTGGGTGCTTTACCACTGAGAACCCATCTGCTGCTGGGGACTGTCTCCCTTCTAATAATGACTGATGGCTTTATTCCCTGCCCAGGGCGGCTGCTCCAACCACAAGCCAGAGGTCTCAACCTTCCCAAGTGATTAAATGCTACGTGGAGTGTGGTAGGGCCCACCAAATGTCTTAGGATGCCATTCAGAGCCCAGCCTGAGCTTCTAGCTTGTTCCATGCCTCCTGGGCTCTCCCGATCTCAATCTGCCCAGCCTGGCAGCAGTATAAACTATGTTTTTGCCATTTCCCTTTGTCCGCCTTCTGATTCATTTAGTGTTTGTTTCTTCCTGTTTACAGCAGCAACAAAAAGCCTTTCAGTCCTGAGACATAACTTGAACTGTGATAGGTCTGAGAAGTTTTTCAAAAAAACAAAAAAGAAAAAGGAAGTCTACTTCTGAAGATGGCTATGGTCATATGGCAAAAAACAAAAAAATCCCCCCAAACTTCTAAAAGTATGCAAATACGGCCTAGTTCTGGTGGCTCACGCCTGTCCCTTAGCTACTCAGGAGGCTGAGATATAAGGATCACAGTTCAAAGACAGTCTGCGTAGAAAGCTTGTGAGGCTCTTATTTCCACTTAACTACTAAAAAAGCCAGAAGTATAGCTATGACTCATTTGGTAGAGTGCCAGCCTTAAGCAAAAAAGCTAAGCAAGAGCTTTATTCAAGACCAGCTACCAGCATAAAAAAAATGTCTGCAAATAGCTGGTTGACCAATTGCAGAAATTATTTTCATATATTAAACTCATCTACCCAATAAATCACAAGTCATTAGAAAGGAGGGATGTGGGACAGGACAGATGTACAAACACTGAATTAAGAGCAGAAGTTAATAGTACTAAAATACTATTTACAACTTTTACAAGAGCTTGTTGGTAATTAGGTGAAGCTGTAGCAATAATGAAATATAGATACACACAGACAGATAGATATAAATAGAGTACAAAAAAAAATGAAAGGAGCTGGCCAATGTCTGTTAAATTCTAGGATTCTATGAAAGCAGAATAATGTTGCTCTTGACAGGTTTAAAATATCTAGCAATTTAGAATCACAGAATGTTGGTATATATAAGAGCATATATGCCAAAAGAAATCAATCACCTATTCATGGTCAGATTAGGTTATTTACTAATTAGAACTGAGACTAGAATGGGGTCTCTCCACTTGTACTACAGAGGCAAACAAAGATTAGAATTCATTATCTGAGTTTCTTTAGGGATGCTCTTGTCCAGAAAAATCATAGCTTCAAAATCCTCAGATTATTTCCTAAAAACTAACCACACTAAAACCCGAGCATCTACCAGAAATTTTGTCTTCATCTTCATTCCCATATAATGCCTTACATCTGTTATAAAGGGAATCTGAAAAATCTTGCCACAAAACACAGAGTTGCGTGATGTCTATAAAATGTTAGAAATTTCCCCAACGAATAAAATAATTGTGACTACGCAGTTTGATTAGGAAGCAATCATTAAGTGAAGAGTGGGTAGCAGAGATTTTAAGAATGATTTTAAAACCAGGCACTGATACTCATACCTGTAATCCTAGCTACTTAGGAGCCTGATATTGGAGGATCAAGGTCTAAACCCAGTCTGGGTAGATTGAAAAAAAAAAAAAAAAAGATCTTTAATATGAAAGCATCTAAAAGGCTCCAAAAAATGGCCAGTATTTTGAAAGTTTTCACTAGCATTGGTCGTCTTTATGATGTGACTGAAATGTCAAATGTAACGCAAAAGGCAGTGTAATGACTGCATTTGTAATGAAAAGAAACCACATAAGTTCATATTGATTTCTTTTCAGTCTAATGGGTCCTATAGCCAATCTATTTTTTAAAATAGATGTGAATTCACCATAAGGAGAACTTTGGAAACTTCATCCAAAAAATTGCTCCTTTTAAAATAATACTTGATATTTACGCTCTTTATTCTGTTAAATATTAGCTAGAACAAACCTACCTTCATAACTTCCAGTTTACTTTTACATGTGAACTCTCCATGTAAGTAGATTGCTTTAGCTAGCCTCTGTCTGATTCTTATTATCCTGAGATAAGAAGGAATTTCTTGAAGTATTAACTCAGGAATATGGAGTGTATTTATATCATTTTGAGCCAAGTACACATTTTGGAAGCAAGAACATCTAATTCAAAATATGCCAGAAACACTAGGGAACAATAAAACCATGATTTACTCTGTTCCTTTGTCAGCAAACACAATGCATTCTGTACTTTATACAAAATAAAAATCAAAGCTACTACATTACAAATGATTATTTTGAAATGAGTCTAAAAGTGTAATAATAAATTTATAATCCAAAATTATGTAAGTTTCCAGTTTTTATAGTCTAGCTTATTGGGACCAAACTAAGGCCAGGGACAGTTGTTGATTTGCATATTTTGATTGCTTTCCTGGTTTGGTTCTGTATAATTCATGCTCTAACTTTCACCTGAGACTGATCGAGTCAGCTGAGTTTCCCTATATTCAGAATGCTTACTATATGGAAATAGTTAATATTGAGGAGGGGCTTAGCTCACATTCATTTAGATAATGAAACCTATTCCAGTAACATAAAATTCATTTTAGAAGCATCAATTATTCAGTGGAACATTTTCTTCCAGAAGGGTAAGAGAATATTTTTCCCATTAAACAAAGCTGCAACATTCCAGAATAGAAAGATATTTCCTTTTACTTTTCGATCTGCAGGACTCTTTAACAGTCTAAATAACCAATGACAACTAATTGAAAGTACGCAAAATGCTTGCAAACAAGATTCACTTGCCATGACTCTAGCTTTTGTGACTAAAATAATAAACAATTTATGTTTATTAATCCTGTCTTAGAGGTCAAGACCAAGCGTAATGACTCATTCTTTCTGCTAAATTAACTTATCTCTCAACTGAGTATAAATTTTCAGCTCAAGATTACAACACAACTAATAATTCCTTCCATGTTTCCAACAACAGCAAAGCTCCCATCTGCCTGAAGCTATCACTGGATAGCAAAGATTATTAAATATCATATTCTACTGTAGGTATACACAAGTTACCTCATCACTGGTGTCTAAAGAGAAGAAAACTAACTCAAAATTATCCTTCCTTTTTTTTCTATTTACTGGTACTGGGGTTTGAACTCAGGGCCTTGGGCTCGCTTTACTTGCTTACTTGCTCAGCTGAGCGACTTGAGCTACACCTCCACTCCTGCTTTTTTGTGCTGGTTATTTTAGAGACAAATTTTTCTGTCTGGGCTTTGATCCTCCAGATCTCAGCCTCCTGGATAACTAGGATTACAGGAATGAGTCAATGGCATTCGGCCATCTTTGCAAATATTTGACAGTCATGCTAAGGAAAACAGGTGAGCTGCCCTTCTCTGGTCTACTTCCTGGAATGAAATAAACAACAAGCAGAGTGTGAATAATGGGTAGGGTATCATCCAATGAGCAACTGAAAGCTCAAGGACCAGAGTCCTGCTGGGCTTACTGGCTTAAGTTAGTATCAACCTCAACTGGAAGAAAAGTATACACATTTATAACCATAATCCTTGCACAGCTGAGACAGGAGAATTGTAAATTCCATGCCAGCCTGGACTGCATAGCAAGGCCCTATCTCAAAAAAAAAAAGAAAGGAAGGAAGGAAGGAAGGAAGGAAGGAATAAAGAAAATTAATTTCTTTTAAAGGTATAAAATGGTTTCCACACTAAATAGCTTCATAAACCATAGGAAATAAACAAGCAATAAATTTGGTTCTTGATTTGGGGAATGCAACTTAAAAATACATATTCAACAATATTAAAACTGCCCTTAAAAATGCAATCCTAGCTGGGAATGGTGGAGCATGCCTGTGATCCCAGCTACTCAGGAGGTTTATTAAGGCTGCATCCTAGCTATACAGTAAGTACAAATAGGAAGATCCCGGTCTGAGGCTTGCCACAGTAGGGGAAAAAATACATGAGACCCCATAAAATATGTATGAGACCCTGTAGAATATGTATGAGACTCTAAATATAAGTGCATAAAACCCTAAATATAACTAAAACATAAAAGGCTAACGGTTTAGCTCAAGTAGTACACTTGCTTAGCAAGCATGAGGCTGATTCAAGCCCAAGTATTGGTGGAGAAAGAAAGAGTGGGGTGGGGGGGGGCATTCCTAGACTTATTATCAATGCAGGAGATGATGTAACTGTCCTGATAAAGCAGGCTAGCTCACCTGCTTGCTGTGAGGGCAGCTGGGCAGGCCACAGCACGCTGGCTGTAGGCTGAGAAATCTCACAGCCTGTGTTCAGCCCCTTCCTAGCTGGGATAACTTTCCATCTCCCAAACCTTTCCTCTTCCATAATATGAGTATGGGAACAAACCCACCAAATTTCTCCTAGCCTTAAATGAGATAATCAGTGTCACATACATAACACGCTGCTGAGCCGACACCAAATGTTCAGGAGGTTTGGGTTATTCCAACAAGTAGAACAGAATACCTTCTTGGCTTTTTCTCAACATAGATGAGGTATCAACAGCTACAGAGCTCATGTCTTCTACCCAATGCTGTGACTAGAAATCAGTCACTCCTGCTGTGAAAATACACAAGTAATTCTTCAGGATAGATATGACACATATCTATTTGGGTTTGATGATTACTAAGTCTGACATAATCATGATGTGTCTGGCACTTCAAGTGCTTTCTAATTAGTCTTGTAATTTTTTTTATCACAATCCTATGACGCAGAAGCAATTCTTGTTCCAACTGTACACATCAGGAAACTGAGATGTAGATAGTTAAGAAACTTGCCACAACATCAAAGCCAAGAAGGATTCAAACCAGGGAAGCGGTTGCAGAATCCATATTCTTAAGCAAGATGCTACAGGACTAACTTCTTATACGCATATTTATTTAAGGGATAGAAGAGAGAAAGAAAGACAAGGAAGAAAAAAGAAGGCTAAAAATATTAATCCAGGGGCTGGGAAGGTGGCGCTTGCCTTGCATGCATGAGGCCCTGGGTTCGATTCCTCAGCACCACATAAGCAAAAAGAAAAAAGCCAGAAGTGGCGCCGTGGCTCAAGTGGTAGAGTGCTAGTCTTGAGCTGAAGAGCTGAGGGACAGAGCCCAGGCCCAGAGTTCAGGCCCCACGACTGGACCAAAAAAAAAACAAAATTAATCCAACTGGGCATCAGTAGCTCACACCCATAATCCTAGCCAGTCAGAAGGCTGAGATCTGAGGATCGCAGTTCAAAGCCATCCTGGGCAGGAAAGTCTGTGAGACTCTTATCACCAATAAACTACTCAGGAAAAAAAAGCCAGAATTGGCACTGTGACTCAAGTCATATGGCGCTGATCTTGAGCCAAAGAAGCTCAGGGACAGAACCACAGTTCAAGCCCCAGCACAGGCAAAAAAAAAAAAAAAAAAATCCAGGAGAACTATCCTTTCTCCAAAACAGAGAGAGAGAGACAGACAGACAGACAGACAGACAGGCAGACAGACAGAGACACAGAGAGAGAGAGAGAGACAGAGAGAGAGAGAGAGACAGAGAGAGAGAGAGAGAGAGAGAGAAATTCAATTGTGAAAACATTATTGTTATCAATTGGGTCTTAAATGATCCTCAGAGGTTCATTCATTAAACAATTCAAGGTCTTGTCACCAGCCTATCAGGAGGTGGTAAACCCTTAGAAGGTGGGGCTTGCTGGGAGGAAGTCAGGGCTGCTAGAAGGTAAACAGGCCTTCTCCACCACATGCTCCCAGGACGGTCTATGTTGGCACATGTCCAAAGCAATGTGTGAGGCAATCACGGCTGAAACTGCTGAAACTTTAAGCCAAAATAAACTTTTCATTCTTATTAATGGATGGATGGATGGGTGGGTGGGTGGGTGGGTGGGTAGAAAGTGGATAGAAAGATAATGAGGTGGCTGGGTAGGTGAAGGAATTGGCGAATAGAAGAGTGGATAGATGGCTGGATAGAAAGAACTTTTTGTTGATGCCATTTCAGAACACCTGCCACACCAGGAGACAAGGTGGTGACACTCTGTGCTAATGTAGCAGCATCTGTTTAAAGTAAAACAAAGTAATTCAGCCATGAAAACATTGCATATTCTAATGGGCTTAAAACCACCTGAACAACTGGACAACATGCTGGATCTAAGCCAGTCCTTTGTGGATTTTAATAAGGGAACAACTGTTGAATATCTGTCCGAATATGGACACAGGAAGGCCAAACTAGCTGACAAAGAGATTTTTCTTTGTTTTTGTTTTTGTTTTTTTTTTGTTGGTCATGGGACTTGAACTCTGGGCTTGGGCACTGTCCCTCAGCTCTTCAGCTCAAAGCTAGTGCTCTACCATTTGAGCCATAGCCACTTCTGGTTTTCTGGTGTTTTTTTTTAATTGGAGATAATAGTCTCAAGGACTTTCCTGCCTGAGTTGGCTTTGAACTGTGATCCTCAGATCTCAGCCTCTTGAGTAGCTAGGATTACAGATGTGAGCCACAAGCACCTGGCACAAAGAGATTTTTTTCAGCAACATTTGCTGCTCTCTTTCTCTGTCTCTCTCTCTCTCTCTCTGTCACTCTTACTGGGTCTTAAACTCAAGGTCTGCGCACTGTCCCTTAGCTTTTTTGCTCAAGAATGGTGTTCTATCCACTTCTAGCTTTTGGTAGTTAATTGGATATAAGTCTTACAGACTTTTATGCCCTAAGAGTGATCCTTTGCTCTCAGCCTCCTGAGTAGCTAAGATTATAGGTGTCTATCACTGGTGCCCAAATTTGCTAAGCTTTTTAGTTGGTTGTAGAGGTTAACGAACAGTTGGATGTGCAGAAAGAGGAGTTCAAATCTCCAGGCAGGAGAGAAGTAGGCCTAGAGAAGGCCTAGAGTAGGCCTAGAGAGAAGGTCTATGCCTTGGCCACCTGAATATCTCAGCAGTCTGTCCTCCTCTCCACCCCCCGTCACTCTGACCCCAGCACTTTGTACTGTCTTCGGGGTCTTCAGGACCATGGAAAGGGTCAGTGACAAAGGAAACCAAACAAACTGAACAGTGGTTTGGACTCTAAACTTCCTCTTCCAGCAAAGTGGTAAGGACACAGAGGGGGTTTAAAAGCTCCTCCGGTTCTAATGGCCCTGGCTTTCCAGGGAGAGATGCTAGGGACTTTCCACACTTAGGACACAATTATTGTTTGTCCTTCACAAATAAAAATGAGAAAGATGACATCATGGTTTCACTTAAAAGAAAAAGGGACACAAAATGTAGTCAAGAGTGACCAGGCTCTGTTGATCATGGCACAGTCTTCTCTTCAAAGCTCAAATATGCTGAAATACAGTAGAACCTGGACAGCTGGACGTAACATTATTTATATATGATGAAAGTCATCATCAAGGTCACCTCAGGTCACATTCTTCACTGAGAAAGCTCGTTTTTGTGGCAGGCAAGATCAATCATGAGCTTGCTAGGCAAGTACTCTGCTACTTCAATCATACTCCATCCCCACGCCATCCCACAGTTGTATAGTTCTTTGTTTTAGTTTGTTTTCCAGTTATGGTCTTATGCTTTTGCTCAGGTGCTACCTCAATGCAACTCTCTAGGGAAGCTGTGATTACAGGAATGTACCAACACAATCTAACTTTTTGCTCCAGCTGGCCTCAAACCTACATTTTTCTTTCTCAACTCCCTGAGTACCAGGATTATAGGTGTGAGACAACTTTTTGATAGGAATGCTTCTGTGATGCTTAGCAATGGGTCGTACCCTACAAAAATGCAATGTTAGACAACATCATAGAGTGTACTTAGCCAAGCTACGATGGCTGCAACATCACTAGGTGGCACAATCAGATAGGAGGTCAATCATTATGTGGTCCATGACTAGTTTTCCATGCAAATACTCTAAGCTGCCAAGTGATCCCAGAAAGGCCTTCTCACCAGGAATATTTGCTTGCAAATTCTGAACTGAGGAAGTCACAGGAAGAACTCTAGGTATTCCCCTCTGTGAATCCCCTCCCTCAATTCATAAAACAGTGAAGAAATTCTGATTCATTCTTTTTTTTTTTTTTTTGTCAGTCATGGGCCTTGAACTCTGGGCCTGGGCACTGTCTCTCAGCTCTTCAGCTCAAGGTGAGCGCTCTACCACTTAAGCTACAGCACCGGTTTTCTGGTGGTTTATTGGAGATAGGAGTCTCACGGTCTTTCCTACCCGGGCTGGCTTTGAACCGCAATCCTCAGATCTCAGCCTCCTGAGTAGCTAGGATTACGGGCGTGAGCCACCAGCGCCGGGCTTTCATTCATTTTTTTTTTAATGTATTTTTGGGTTGCTCCAGGAGATGAGACTTCTAGGATGGCTGTCTGAATCCAAGCGCCAAAAGTGTGAAGTGACTAGATGGGAGCCAAAACAGACAACTAGGGAATAGGAGATAAAGTGGCCTGGAAAATAGGAACACCTGCCCAAGTGTTGGAATTGAGGGTAATGGATGATCAATTATTTGAAGAAGTCCTGGATAAGTTTGTTAACTGTCACAAGCAAACATATGAAGAATTTTTGAGCACTTTTACTCATCTTTCAAAAGAGGATAATGTGACCAAGAATGGCACTTGGAACTGGGTCTTCAAAAAGCATAGCTACTTCTGTCAAATTTACTCATAAAAATGAACAAAATGACCACCATCTTAGAAAGACAGCCATCTTTCTTCATACTGCATCACAGTGTTCAGAAGAAGAACAGATGGTGACAGAGGAAGGCCTGAAAGTCAGCAGCTCCTTTCAAGGTGATCTGAAGTTGGCTGGAAAGGTGAAGGTGGGCAACTTCCTCAGTTTAGAAGATATGGACATGGATGAAGATACTGATCCCCAAATGAGCAAGGACAGGATGCCGCTTCCAGAAGAAGTGGAACAGGAATTAAGCACCTATGTTCCTTCTTACACCCCTGTGGTCCGGCCTCCCATCAATGAAGAGAAGCTGAAGCCTACAGTAAAAAGGACCATGGAGCAAGTGGCAGAGATACTTGGAGATGAAGTTCAGCCCTTCTCACTTGATGAAGAATTTGATTATGACAATGTGACTCCAACCCCCAAGTACACTCCTGAAGACATAGACACCACCAAAGAACTGTTGAAGCAAGGGAGAAAGAACACCAACACCAACACACAACAGTAAAGCAGATGAGAACCCCTAACTGACACCTAAGGCATCTTTATTTTTATGTGGCTCTTATTAAAGCAATAAAATAAAAGATGAAAGGAATAAAAGATAAACCAACCATAAAAATGTACTTTTGGTACCAGTACTAGGTCGTGAACTTAGGGTCAGGGCACCTTCCATTTTATTTATTTATTTATTTATTTGCTCAAAGCTAGTGCTCTGCCATTTTGAGCCACACATCCACTTCTGGCTTTTTGCAGGTTAATTAGAGGTAAGAGTCTCATGGTCTTATGTATTCTTCTTTCTGCCTGGGCTGGCTTCAAACTGTGATCCTCAGATCTCACCTCCTGGGTATTACAAGCTTGAACTACCAGTGTCCACCTACTTATACCACATTGTGTGTGTGTATGTGTGTGTGTATGTGTGTATATGCTGGGCCTAGGCTTGAACTCAGGGCCTGGGTGCTGTCCCTTAGCTTTTTCACTGCTCTACCACTTGAGCTACAGCTCCAATTCTAGCTTTTTGTAGTTAACTGGAGATAAGAGTCTCATAGAATTTTCTGCTTGGGCTGATTTTGAACCATATCATCAGATCTTAGCCTCATAAGTAGCTAGGATTATAGGCACAAGGCACCAGTACCTGACTTCAAAAACTTATTATGGAGACATGGAAAAACTAACCTCTAAGCAAAGTGTTATAGACTTGGCTTTGGATGACTTGAGAATATCTGCTCACTGGATATGGGGGATATTTTTTGAGCCATTTCTGTTCCTGATACATCCTCAACATAGAGGCACTGCAGAAACTGTGTTTTGCATGTTTTCCTCCTATAATAAACTCCAAAGTCCAGGAGAAGAGAGATGGAGTTTTACACATCTCATTCCTGGCCCAGGTCCTAATGGAACTTGACAGACTGCCTAGCAAATAAATATTCATTAAATGAAAGCATCTTGTTTCCTTTCACTTTATTGTTAAAGGGAAAAAAAGAAAAAAAAAACTTGTATCTCAGAATCTCAAATAAATATTCTCCAAAAACATTAAGCTGTAGATGTGATAGAAGAGAATCTAAGCATTTATTAATTTAATTTTGCCAAGATGGAACTCAGCCTTACCATCTGCTAGGTAAGAGATAGACAACTTGAGCCATGTCCCCAGTCCTGGTCCTTTTAAGTTTGTATTTCACATTAGGAACCAACCCATGTTTTTTACCCAGGCTAGCCTCGAACCATGATCCTCCTACCTCTTTGCCTCCCTGATAGCTGAGAGTACAGGTGTACACCATCACGTCCAGTTAGGAATTTAATCGTGTGTGTGTGTGTGTGTGTGTGTGTGTGTGTGTGTGTGTGTGTGTGTGTGTGTGCACTACTGAGGGCTTGAACTCATGGTCTCAAGCTCTTCCTTAGCTTTTTCACTCAAGGCTGGTGCTCTACCACTTAACCCACACCTCCACTGTGGCTTTTTGCTGGTTAATTAGAGCTAAAAGTCTCTCAGCTTTGTCTTCTTAGGCTGGCTTTTAACCTGAATCCTCAATTCTCAGCTTCCTGAGATAGGAAAAAGGAAAAGCTTATTTTGTTAAAAAAAAATATGCAAAGATGTTTACTTTGAAACATTAATGAGTCTTCCTTCATTCTCAGAGACCTTCATTGATATTTATACATTTTTCTCAGTTCAGTTACTGACTGTTCCCTGTGAGAACTGGATCTGACTTGGGTCAGCGTGGGGTCAAATGCCAGATACTCTCCCTTCACTGGCTTGCTATGCCCTCAGGGTCTTGGCAGCCCTCCAGCCATCTCAGCCACCTGTTGCCAAAAGCCCTTGTATTGAAATTTTCATCTTTCACCCCCAGTGCGTTCCTCCTCTCCACTCATGTTCCATTCATTCATGACAAGTGGAGCAGGGAGAGGGCAGAGGGCAGAACACAGGCTTCTCTGTCAGCCATCCTTCCGATGCACTTAAGCAGACACAGGGGCCCCAGCCCAATGTGTGGTCCACAGAATGTGAACACAGGGAACCAGCAGGTGGCCTCTGCTAAGGGAAGGCTCCAGCATCAGGGGCCTCAGAGATGGAGGGAAGTGTGGCTGGGGACTCCTTGAGTCTGCCTGTAGATAAGTGTCCTCCAGCGTTGGGTGTGGGTAAAGTCAACAGGAAAAGCAGACACTCCTCCCACTTCCTGTCAGTTGGTTGCTGAATGGCCTGTTTATGGACACTGATGTTCACTAGGAATTCCTGCTGCAGTGGGCCAAGATCTCCAGTCTCCCTCACTCAAAATGGTAGCCTTGCCTCCTTCTGCCAAACCTGTGATTTCCAAGTTTGTACAACTCAAATTCCCTAAACTACAGCATTATTTGTTTGAATGTGTGTGTGCCAGTACTGAGGTTTGAACTTGGAGCCTTGTACTCTTGCTCAGCTTTTGTGCTCCCAGATGGTGCTCTGCCACTTGAGCCATGCCTCCAGCCCAGCTTTTTGCTGGTTAATTGGGGATGACGTCTCCTGAATTTTTGTGCCCAAGCTGGCTTTTAAGAATCTCAATCTTTTTATCTCAGCCTTCTCAGTAGCTAGGATTACAGCTACTTACTGGCACATTTTATGTTAGAGTTATCATCAGTTACTGAGCATGCAATCAGATGTGACATAAAATATGTCATGTACACAAAGATATGATGAATGCCTAAAGTGATGAAATCTCAATTACCCTGATTCCAACATGACACAGTGTACACATGCACTGAAACATGACACTGGATCCCCAAATGCACACAATCAGTAGATGTCAATTCTACATTTTAAATAAAAACTACATTTTTTATAGTACATCTGGAATGCTCACATACCATGCCACTCATCCTTGTTTTATTTCATTTTTGCCGGGCTAAGGATTGAACGTAGGGCTCACACATGTTAGGTAAGTGTTCTATCCCTGAGATACACCCCAATCCCCATGTCCCTTTATTTTACTGTCCCAAAGCATCTAACATAGTTAAAGCGGGAGAGGAGATCTCAATTATGCTTCACCAGATTCCACTTAAAACTTAATTTCTCACGCTAATGACTATTTCCCCCAATTCTTCCCTTCATTCACCACCCAGGAAAAAAATCACTCACTGATAAAACTGAAAATGAAATACTATTGCTTTTATCTGAAGGAAGTTGGAAAAACATTATAATGGGACACAATCACTTTAATAAGAAAATCATGAGGCTAGGCTCCAGTTCATGCCTATAATCTTAGCTATGTAGGAGTCTGAGATCTGAGGATTTTGGTTCAAAGCCAACCCCAGGAGGAAAGTCTGTAATACTCCTATTTCCATTAACAAGTAAAAATAAATAAATAAAACATAAAGCAAATAAATAAATATAAATAAGTAAAACTGAAAAGCTTTGAAAGCTATGGCTCAAGGAAAAAAAGGAAGGAAGAAGGAAGAAAAGAAGGAAGGAAGGAAAGAAGGAAGGAAGGAAGGAAAGAAGGAAGCAAGGAAGGAAGCAAGGAAGGAAGGAAGGAAAGAAGGAAGGAAGGAAGGAGGGAGGGAGGAAGAAAGGAAGAAAGGAAAGAATCATAACAAACGCAAGAAGTTATTAATATTATTCTTGGGGGTTTTTCATTTACAAAATACATCATTGCCCTGAAGAACCTGTGAAACCTTCAGGAACCAGAGACAAAGGCATACATGGGCAAAAAGGTCCATGAACTCAGTTGTGGATGTGGGGGTGCTTGGGTTCTTAGAGTGCCTCCTGCCAGTGATGCTCCTGCTAGGCCCAGCTACTCCCTTAACTTTTAGATTTCAATTTTAATGGCATGTCCTCTCAGAAGCCCTCCCCGATCACCTGGTTTAAAGGTTTTCTCCATTCCCACTACCACTGCTACTCATAGCACTCTTCAAAGCAATGACACAGTTACTTGTTCATGTCTGTCACCCTTTCTAGACTAAAAGCTCCATGACAACAGGGCTAGGCTTGTCCTGTGAGTGAACAACACCTAGTGTACAAATGCTAGCATGGCCAGGAGGCTGAGAGAACCAAAGGTGGAGAAAAATCACAAAAAGCTGTCCTAAACCACAGAGGAAGTTCATGGGACAAACAGGTATAGGGAAGCAGGCCTTAGTGGCTTGCTTTCTCTCCTGCTTTTAGTTACACACATGGGTATTATTATCTATAACAGGGTTGTTGTCCCAGCACCCAGCACAATGCCTCTACTTCTTTGTCTTTTTTGTCTTCCTGCTACTTCTTTGTCTTTTCCAGGGCCAGGTTCTTGGGAAACACACACACACACACACACACACACACACACAAACTATAGCCAAATTCTGGTGGCTCATTCCTGTAATCCTAGCTACTCAGGAGGGTGAGATTTGAGAATCACAGTTCAAAGCCAGCCAGCCTAGGCAGAAAAGTTTGTGAAGCTCTTATCTCCAATTAACCACTAAAAAGCTGGAGGTGGAGCTGTGGCTCAAGTGGCAGAGCACTGGCCTTGAACATCAAAGCTAAAGGATATCACATAGCTCCTGAGTTCAAATCCCCGTAACTGACACAAAACAACAACAACAAAACAGACAAACAGACAACGCTGAGTACAATTTAATAAAGCCATGCCCCCAGTGGAAGTGGGACCCAGGTGGAACAAACAGGTGGGAAGAAGGAAGCTGGGAGGGGAGGAGGGTGACAGGAGTTGTATTCCTCACTTTGTGCAGGACATTTAGGGATCTGTTCTCCAGCCTTTCTTCCTTCCACCAGCAAGAATAACCAAGGATATCTCAAGATCTAACCTCTAAACCCAAAAGACATGCACACATACCTCCCAGGTGTTCTGGGGATGGGATGGGACCTATAGTAACTTTCAACACATTTCAAGAAGCACTATCAAAAAACTGTCCCTCGAGGAACACAAAGGAACAATGCCTCTGTGCCTTTGGCCATATAAAATAATCCTAATCAAAATGAATTTCAGGGAGCTGAGAGGGTGGCTCAGTGGTAGAGTGCTTGCCTCGCATGCATATGGCCCTGGGTTCAATTCCTCAGCACCACATAAGCAGAAGGAGCCAGCAGTGGTGCTGTGGTTCA